TTAATTCCCGAACAGATAAAGATTGTCAACAATTTATCATCTTCCATATACAATTCAGATATGCTCCAGATACGAATGTCATTCTGATACTCATTCCAGATCATCTTTCAGATACAGTTCAGATACGCTCTAAATACGGATGTCATTCTGATACTCATTCAGTATATCTATCAGATACGATTTAGATACGCTCCAGATACGGATGTCATTCTGATACTCATTAAGTACATCTTTCAGATATAGTTTAGATAAACTCCAAATACGGATGTCATTCTGATACTCATTCAATACATCTTTCAGATACAGTTTAGGTACGCTCCAAATACGGATATCATTCTGATACTCATTCAGTACATCTTTCAGATACAGTTCAGATACGCTCCAAATATGGATGTCATCCTGATACTCATTCAGTATATCTTTCAGATACGGTTCAGATACGCTCCAGATACAGATATCATTCTGATACTCATTCAGTACATCCTTCAGATACGATTCAGATACGCTCCAGATACGGATGCCATTCTGATACTCATTCTGTACATCTTTCGGATACATTTCAGATACGCTCCAAATACGAATGTCATTCTAATACTCATTCAGTACATCTTTTAGATATAGTTCAGATATGCTCCAAATACGAATGTCATTTTGATACTCATTCAGTACATCTTTCAGATACAGTTCAGATATGCTCCAAATATGGATGTCATTCTGATACTCATTCAATACAACTTTCATCTCAGATACGATCAAGATATAGATTCATTCTGAGACTCATGCTCAACACATCTCCAGATACAATCACGACATAGATTCATTCTGACACTCCCTAACACATCTTCTAGATGCAATCAGACACAAACTCATTCTAGTATACTTCTCATATGAAGTCAGATACAGAGACCTCTTCTGGCTCAGATAAAATCAATCGTAGATTTATTCTGATACTTTTGCCAGTTTGGAGTCAACATTTAATTTGGATGGAATCTATAAGCCCATCTCTTACGACTCTCAGTCATATTCTCTAAATGGCATCTATAAGCCCATTCCCGATATCATTAACCAACAATGTTACTTCATGCACAGGCGAGTGCAAATTTTTGGGCACTCTAGTGTTCAATCATCTTCCACCTTCATATTATGAAAGACAGACAAGCCAATCTAAAATCCTCAGGTTTAAGACAATTGAACAGGGGAACTTGTTGTACCCCAAAATTTTCCCTCCCATTTTTATTCAAAACATACTCCTAGAGGTCCCTAAGTGCTCAAGGTTGACCAAGAATTGACCAGACAAATTCTCCTCCTAAGCAATGGGCTTCCAACTAGGGTTTCACTTTTCACAAAGAAGTTTGGGTTTCAAAGGTCTCAATTTATTTCCATGGTTCCTAATATTTCATCAAGAATGGTCATGCCATGTTTCATGCCTTGCATCACAAGTTTTCTCAATCAATGGCTCAAATGTTTGAAAATTAACTATATTGGTCAAAAAGTCAACTATGGTCAACATACAGTCAAACTTCAATATTTTTGGTAAACATCAACATTTTGAAGTGATATCCATCATTTGATCAAGGGTTGATCATGATTCCTCAAGGAATGCTCTCAAATCATCAAGAATCCAAAAGTGCAAAATTAGGGTTTCCTAGGAAGAGTCAACTAAACTTTGACCAAGCATAAATTTCACATGCTTCATCCATTTTGCCACAACCAAAGCTCACTGTGAATAAAATTCAATTCCTTACAACTTTCCTTTTGTCCTCAAGTTCAAAAAATGCATCATTAGAAAGATATGAGCCAATACATTACAGGTCTTTTTGAAAGTCAACAAAAAGACATTTTTTGTCAAGGCAAGTTACATCAAGATGATTTCTCCAAATTAAAAAATGGTTAACATAGAGATTGTAGAGGACATCTTGTGATTTCTAAAACATCCAAGATCATCTCCAAAATATAAAAATTGAGCAAGTTATGACTAGTACAAATTGGGCAAATTGGTGAAAATACAAAAAAGTCAACTTTGAGCAAAAATGCATTTTTAAGTTCATAGACCTATTTAGTTGGATTCAAATATGTTTATGACTTACTCAAGGACTCCTAGATTTACTCTCACCTTGCTTTGCATTTTTTCTATTTTGTTCATATTTATTTTGTTTTTATTCAAATAAACACAAAATAAATTGCATAAAATAATAAATAAAAAGTATGGACACATGGGCTGATGATTTGGGTTGATATTGGGCCTTAGAATTCGTGCAAGGCATGAGGAAAAAGACCAGGTTCATTGCATCTCAAGAAGGGCAAGTTTTTCACAATTTTGGAAGTATTTTAATATGTTTGATATTGCTTTGAAAGGGGGTCATTATGTGTGGATTCTTGTCATGTTTACTCACCATTCCATCCCTCTATAAATACAAAACAAAAGCATAAGCCAAGACCATGAAAATATGCACCAAAGCTCTCCAAAACAAATTCTCCAAATTCGAAGAAATTGTGAAAATCATATCTCGCATCTCCAACGATTTTCAAACCGATCCAAACCTTTCATTGTCCTCCTGAAGGCCATGAGTCAGAATCAATCATTATCCTTTGCAAATCAACCCCAGAAAACGCCCTCAAATCGATTCCGGTTGGTAAGTTGGTAGGTTTTGTATTCTCAAGATTTTCACACTTTTTAAGTCTATGTAAACATGTTTATTTTATTTATATGCATTTTCTGCAATTTTCTAACGTTTTACATGTAAGCATGGAGGCAGAAATAACAATCATGACCATGGTGCACCCAAGGCGCGTTCCTCACTGGATTGGAACAAAGCTCCTGGACTCATCTGTTTTTGGCCCATTGTTCATCTTCCTCACACCCCCACTTACTTGTTCTCAGTAGGCTCATTTTCATTTCTTTTTTGTGTTTTAATTAACTACTTTTTTTAATCAATCTTATTTTAATGAAAAAATCACAAAAACATTAGACTTAGATTTTTATTAATTAAATTAATTTTAACTAATTATTTTAATCACTTTTTTTAATTAATTAACTAATTAGAATAGGGTTTTATAATTAATTTATTTTCATAAATCAAATTCAAAATTATTATTAACACAAAATTCTTTTTTCTCATAAAAAGACCAAAAACATTTTTTCTTGCTTAGAATTTTAGTTTTTTTTTATTTTGTCCTTTAATTTTCTTTTTAATTATTCATTTGCTATTTAAATTCTAGAAAATAAATGTATAGGTCACATGTGTAATTTTGTAATAGTTGTAGTTTACATTTCCTCACATTTTTTCTATTTATGTAATTGCTTATGTGATGTAATAGCTGTAGGCCTTTACTTTCTCACATTTTATTTTCTGCACTTATTATATATATATATATATATATATATATATATATATATATATATATATATATATATATATATATAACGTGTATGGCAAGATCTAAAAAACAAAACGTTAGAAAATCTTAACATCAAAGATAAACAGTAACTGAAACACAAAATACTTCGCACACGAGCACGTCTAAGGTACCTCCACTTGTTGCCTTCGGAAAATAACAGTCATGTCCCTCGAAAGTGGAGACGCTTTAGCAAAGTCCCTCAATACAAATATCATAGTCCCTCGATAACCCTTCGACGTTGCCTTTCGGTAAAATGATCTAGTCCCTTAAACAAAATTGCTAAAGCGTGTCCTTACCAGTTGCCTTCAATGACTGTACAATGACCCGCGTCTGTCCCTTAAAACATCCAATGATAGGACTACCTAATGACAAATAGTAGGATAACACTATCTAAAGGAAAGAAGAAAAGATCAAACATTTTCGAGTAGCTAGATAGTTCTTAGATGCTTTCTCAAGTAAAACAATTTTCCACACATACACTCCTTTCTAAAAATATTTTCAAAGATACTTTGTATACATTCTCCACGACATGAGAAATATTACAAAATTCACCGCACTAAGGCGTCTTTTCAAAATATTTTTTTCAAACACACAAACACAAGACATTTTTAAATGAGTTAGCATCTAAGAGCTTGTAGATAACTACGGATGAAAAAGATGATAACACTTTCCCTTTCCATAATCTACCCCCCCTTATTCATAAATAATCTCGAAAGGGGTCTTTCTCTGTTCTTTTCACCCTTTCTGTTGTTGGATAAAAGAAAAGTCAGTGATGACTCTTGCTTATCGCAACATTTATAAATACAAACGCAAAATTAGTATAACAGTCAATTCTACCACCATATTACATTATGCAAAGTAAAAATTGTTGATTAGATTAAAGAAAATCCATTAGATTATGTCCTTTAACTATTAGGTTAAGAAGTACAATTCCCAATCTTATACCCACTTAGGTTAAGAAGTACAATTCCCAATCTTATACCCACTAATAACATAACTAAATCCCACTAGAAACCGATGGAAAGTTTCCCATTCCTCCTGAAAAGGAACGTCATGCTTCAACCTTTACATGTTTTATCAAATCGCCCCAACCCTAACCCAATTGTTGCACACACCCATCAAATCATAAAAACCCATTTTCCCATTCTCAATGCAACCTTGTCTCTCTACACATCATACAAAGCAAAGCACCCCAAGTAGTTGTTCAATAATTCCATTCACAATAAAAGAATCTAACAAATCAAAGAAAAAAACAAATAAATTACAGTTGTAAAAGCAAACACTATCACTATGAATAATTAATAAATAGTGTTCCACTTACACACTCCACATATCTTTCTTGCTTTCACTTCCCCACCACAATCCTTGTGAACTTTCATTCACTCACCATTCTCTAAACAAAATCTACAACAACCTTTTCATTTATTTACTCTTTTTCTCAATTGTCACTCCCAAAAACTTTTTTGTTCTTGGTTAGATACTATCAATACCAACTCATTCATAAAAATGGTGAATGATACTCATTAGACCTATTAATCAACTAAAAACAATGCAAAAAATACCAATCAAATTAATTAATTTTCATGTATAGAAAAAACAAACTAAGGTCGTTGTAGCTTTTGTTCTTGAAAATCTTCAATATTCTCATAACCAAGCTTTCTCTTAACTCCTGAAAAACCACTAGATTTGTTCTCAACAACATAAGTCAAATTCGACTCTTTTGATAATAAATCCGAGGAAGGTGTCTTCTTAACTTTGTCTCTCTTCTTTTCTTGTATAAGATTGTAACATGAAAATACTTGTTCCTGTTTCATAAAGAACATAAATTAATAAACTTTATAATAATACATTTATGTTATTTTTTATCCAAATTAAATAATATAATTTGTACTAATTAATTATTAAACTCACACTTTCTATATTTCCCCATGACGAGACTAGCTTTATCTGAATATCAATTTCCTTCTCAGTTAATGTGGAATCAAAAGCCGCTAATATAGAAGCAGAAGCAATTATAGATGGTCGTTGATTCATCAAATTAAAATCTGCACACACAGACAAAATAATCAATTTTTTAGTAAAGCTAATTTTAAAAAAAAAAAACACTCATTATTATTTTTTTAGAAAATAATTACCTTTGACCAATGTTACAATGTGTTGTGTGGCTTTTGAGATTATTGTTTCTGGTCTTGAATATTGATTGCAGAACTTGGTGAAGAAATAATGTAAAAAAGCAAAAGGCGTTGGTAATCCCATTTTCCATTCCAAAGTAGTCAAAATCAAAATCTCCATGTTCTTGATAACTTTGTTCTCAAATCGAAACTCTATTGGATATTCTGATAATGTAGGAACTCTTTGTTCTTCCATTTTTGCTGCTATTGATAAACATGCCACTGATAATAATTGAGTAGCCCATGGTTTTGATTCCTGCATAAAATAAATAATCAGCAAAATTTATAATAAATAAAAAAAGGGAAAATAAGTGTTATCTTGTTTGTGTTGACTTGAGCTTACATCAATGGATCGTTTTGAGAGAAAACGGTCGAAATAAGTGATTGATAAATAAGCTGTTTGAAGTGTGAATCCAAATTTTGCTTGTGTCTGAAATAAAATAATCAACAATGACAACTTTCAATAACAGAAGAACCAAAAAGCGATGTAAAATAGATTTTTTTTTTGATTAATTTGGTGAAAACTAACACTGAAAATCCAATCAATGGCATGCAAACGAGCATTTCTCAACCAGAATATATCATCATCAACATCAGCATGGTCGTCGTAGGATAAGAAATGAGTGGTGGAGGATTCAAATCCCGATTCTTGTTTGAATAGATATTCAATATATTCGTCTTCCTCTACATCTTCAAGATAATTATGTGATGAGTTAACGAAGATGGTATTTTCATGTTCATCATCTTCTTTGAAAAAAAATGTGGAATCGGTTTGTTCATGACAGAGAAGACTAGACAAAGAAAATGGGGTGGCAACATAACTCCCCATAGTTTTGATAGTTGAAGATGTTGTGGAAGAAAGTGAGTGATAAATAGTAGGAAGTGTTTGAAGAGAGATTAGATTTTGTGGTAGTGGATTGGAGTGAGTGGGTAGTAGCGGTTTTGATACCGCCAAAATAAACTAGATTTCTTATAATGGGACGTTAATTTACGGTTATATAGCTTTAATATGCACAACAATGAAAATCAATTTTCTCTAATATGCATCATGGAGAAGTTAAATAGGAGAGAGTATTATTAATGTCAAGTATTAGCCAACATGACTATTTTTTTTAAGAAATATGACTATTCATTTTTTTAGTAGTGTTCTAGATTCGGTCAATGTTTATTGTATTCTTTTATTCTAAGGTGAAAAAAAATTATTTTGAATAGATTTATTTATTATAAGATTCACTTTTATTAAAATTGAGTTAACTGATTTATATTTAAATACAATTATATAAGTGACTTAAACAATAAAATTTAAGATTAAAACTATGTTGAAATTCAAAAACTATAAAATTTAAGATTCATTTGATATAGATTTTTTATTTATAAAATATTTGTATTTTTAAAAATAGTTTTTATGGAAATTTTTTTAAAAATAATATAAGTTATTTTAAAACTATTTTTTATTAATTAAAAAACTAATTTTGATATCAATAACAAAAATATTTATTAATAAAGATTTTAATATAGATTTAATAACAATAATCAAACTTTATTCCAAGTGGAAATGATTATATAAATCAAATTTCACAATGGTTCTATTCAATTTGTTAATCCCGAGATTTTTTAATAGTTTTTCTTACATTTATTTAGGTTTTCTTTTATCTCTAATTAGTATTTAATTTCTCATCATCTTATTTACCTTCCTTATAACAAAGTCTATAAGTCTTTTCTCTAGATATCCAAATCGCTTAACTCTATTTTCCACCATCTTTTAACATAGACTCAAAAGGTATAAATTCTATTTTTAATTGAATCAATGGTGGGGGCAAAATCAATATACTTTAAAGGAACTAATCATGTCAAAATCAATTTTACACTTCTAAAAATAATTGTCTTTTTCAAAAATGAAACAAAAAATACACTTAATTTATCACGAACAACATATGAGGCTAAGAATTCAATCACTCTAATATTTTCTAACTCTTGATAAACAAAAAGAGTAAAGAGTTGTGATCTTGATGCACTATCTTCATAGAATATGGATATTATGGTACTCCCCTAATTTATAAGTATCATCGTTCAAATATTAATTAAGGTACTCAACTTCTACCCTAAAAATATCAACTCATACTCAATTTAATACTAACAAAACTTCATATCACTTGTATATACAATCTTCACCTATGAGGAAAAAAATCTAATTCATCAGACTCTCAGTCCAACCAACTTTCTTGAACCACTTTGAATAAAATAAGATCTCTCTCTTTTTGTTGTTTTCATGATATTCGTCCATATGATCTTCTTAGCTTCACCAAGATCTTTCAAATCAAATTCACCATTCAAAGTATCAATGAGCTTATTGATCTCTATCTTACTATAAATTTCCATCAATATATCATCAACATTTAGAAGAATGTAAATAATTATTTTCTCATTTATTTTTAATATGTATGCACAACTATCATAACTGCTTGTCATAAAATTGTCTTTAAGAAGAAATTCATCAAACCAAAAATACCACAATCTTGGGCTTTGTTTCAACTCATATAAAGATTTCTTCAGCAAACATACATTAAACTTGTTCTCTACAAAACAGTCAGATTTTTCCATGTAGATTATTTCTTCAAGGTCCCCATGTAAGAAAGCTTTTATTGATGTCCATGTTCCAAATCGAGATCATATTGATTCATAACTTCTATAAGCATTATTATAGAGCAATGGTTTATCTGAGGTGAAAATATCTCACTATAGTCAATCATCTCCACCAGAGTAAAACTTTTTGCTACAAGTCTTGTCTTAAATCACGATTTTTTAATTCCTAAAATAACTTCCTTATTCATGAAGATTCATTTGCATCCAACCATCCTTTGTTTTTAAGCTAATCTCACAAGATCTTAACTACTGTTCTTCACCAGTGAATCCATCTCTTTGATTTCTAATATCTCTATTAAGGTCTTTGGTTTTAAGTTTTGTAGTCCTTCAGCTACACTAAAAGCATAACAAATAAGGTTAGATTAATCATATCTCCGAGGTGGTACTATGAAGACAAGTCTCTTATGAAGATATACATAAGATAGAAAAAATTCAACAATAGAACAAGTTTCAAGTCTCTTAGCAAAGATGATTCAAGGTTTGATCAAAATATAGCATTTGGAAAATAATCATGACAAAATTAAGATACAATATGTTTTGATTATATAAATCTTAGATGCTCAAAAAAATAATTTAAAACTCATTTTATGCATTATTTTCAAAATAGAAAAACGTGACATTTTTATTTTTGAAAATTTTCTAACTCCACATTGGTATAATCTATAAACTCTATGCAAAGGAGATCATGCTAATTAATTATCTATGTCGTTGTTTAAAGAAAATTTGGTTTTTCATTCAAGGATAATCGATTATCCCTTGGTATGGAGGCAAAAGATAATTGATTAACCATTCCTCTTTTTCACTAAGATAATCGATTAACCTCATTGTAAAGAGACAAACATAATTGATCATCTATCCCATATATTCACAATTTTTTTTATCGTTCCAACTAGGGTAATCAATTCCCATATAAGTGCTATCAATTAACCTATGTTCTTTTTTAAAATTACTATAACATTGCACTTTTCACTCACCTCTTTTCATCTCCAAACCTTTTTAAACCATGACAAATGTTCATAGGAATTTTCTCCAACAATTATTATTTGAAAATCAAGAGGTGTATGGTCATTATAAATAGAGGAATTTTTAAATTCAAAAATCACCTCTTTTTTGACATGATTTACAAGTGTTCCAAACTTTCACAAAAACTTTTCTAATGCATAATTTCCATATCAGATAAATTTTTTCATATTTTCCTTGAGCACTTAAGTATACATATTGTTTGATCATATTGTTTCAGGAAAGGGAAGAATATCATTTCAAGTGTCTGAAAAGTGTCAAACACATTTGTACACAAAATTATTTCATATGTAATTTTTCAACAAGTGTGTAGTTATTCTTTATCTGTAATAAAGTGTTATACTTATTACAGGTTGTTGCAAATAGAAAAGTTTGTTTTTCTATTTGTTGGAAAGATTCTATGAATCAGAGTGATTCAAAGTCCACCATTATTGTTGGTGTTTAGAAATCAAGTAAGTGGTGTGAGATAATTGTAGGAGAAGTCTTGGTGTGAGACTTGTACAAAGATCTAACAAAAGTAAAATCTCTCACAGCGTGTGGAGAGACTAGATGTATCATTGGTTGATAAGGGAAATTAGTATCATTCTTTATGTCCATTTACTTTATTTCACTTTACTTTTCCATTTCTTATTCATTCATCTGCTTATAATTCTAAAAAATTATAAGGAACCAAAAAGTACTTAAAATCTCTAAAAATTAGTCAAACCTAATCCATTCCCCTTTTAGGTGCACTCTTATAATTACAGGTACAATCTCCTTTCTAACTATATCACAAGCAAAGTGATGATCAAATCCAATATAGGTTTCCCCTATGTAGTACTAGAAGAAAAAGCCCAAATTTCCTCTTCATCGCTAATCTTACAAGTAGAAACCTCCACCTTAAATTGATTCTTCTTCATCATAGTTTTTGTTTCTTTCAATTCCAGATATTTGAACTGTAACACTAAATAAATTTCATCAAAAGTAACATATTTTGTTATCGTAAATTTTGATCATCTAAAATACATTTTCCATGACTTGTAAATCTTCACACCTTCAGGATAACCAATGAACACACACTTTAAAACTCTAATATAAAAATTGTCTTACTTGATATGTAAAATTCTAAAGCTCTGAAAACCTTCAAAATAGAGTAGTTTATCAATTTTCCACTCAAAACCTCCATAGGTGTCTTGAAGTTTATTCTCGTGGATAGACATTTATTGATTAGGTAAGTTATTATAGCAACAATTTCACCACAAAAACACGTTGGTAACCTAACTTTCAACAACATGCACATTACCTTCTCCAAAATGGTCACAATCATATGTTACTCCATGCCATTTTGTTGAAGTATGACAACAATGTCTCAATGCCTCTTGATATATTGTTTCGTACAAAACTCGTTAAATTTCTCATAAATAAACTTCAGACCATTGTTAGTTTTTAACATATTCAATTTATTTCCCAACTGATTTCCTATAAAAGTATGTCATTTCATGAACTTTTCAAAGATGTCACTTTTATTTTTTAAAATGTAGACTCATACTCATTTAGAAAAATCATTAATAATAGGAAATAGAAACCAACGTATGAGTTTCCATCCTTGTTAGACCCCATAAATCCTAGTGAGCATAGTTAAACTAAAAATTTGAACGCCACTCCCAAAATCTGTCCTGTAATGTTTTCCTACTACGCAATGGTAAAAAAAATTCAACCAATTTGTCACTTACTAACAAAACTTGTTTTGTTGCTCAACCAGATATTTTTCACTAAAATAATCAAATCTCAAGTGTCATAGCTTTATTTTGTCATGAAAGTCTTCACTAACTAATGATGCATGACCAATAATAAGAACCCATCTAAAATCCATAACCCACACATTTTAGACCTTTAGACATAATCAACACACCTGGAAAAAATTTAACACTCCACATTCAATTTTAGTGCAGTAGCCTAAATCATCAAACATGCTTATAGAAAAAATTTTCAATTAAGTTAGAGAACATACCTTAAATTATGTAGAAGGAACTCACAGTCATCTAATATTTTAAGTCCACTTGTATTAATACCATAAAACTTACAAGTCTTATTGTTACCGAGTCGAACGAATTCACCTTCTTTCAACTCTAAAATCTCAAAGTATTCTTTACATGAGCACATGTGATAAATACATT